GTCGAGCTTGCTGGACTTCATCTTGCGGAGGTGGGAGGTGTAGTCGGCGGCGAAGTCGGGGAAGCGCTCGAACATGGCCTGGAAGCGGTCGAGGCCGCTGGCGTCGACGTCGTTGTGGGAGGAGGAGGTGGCGCCGCCGGCGACGGACCAGGCGACCATGGCGACGGTCCACCTGCGCAGACGCATGGCGGCCGGCGAGTCGCAGTCGCCGTAGGCGTACTCGACGAAGCGCGGCGTGACGTCCCAGTCGCAGCGGAGGTAGATGTCCTGGAGGGCGTCGATGGCGAGGTCCTGGAGGTGGTGGAGGTCGAGGCGGGCGGCGAAGATGTGCAGGCGGACGAGGGCCCAGTGCAGACGCTGGCAGGGGACGCCGGGGGCGTCGCTGACGAGGGTGATCATCTCGTCGAGGTGGCGGCGGAAGCCGTCACGCTGGTGAAGCCAGACGACAAAGAGGTCGAACATGGAGGCGGACTCGTTGGGGAGGCGGATAGTGGAGTTTTGCTGCGGGAGCCATACTTGGACGGGCTTGCCCGATGTGTTGACGATGCCGGCCGGCGTGGCGTCGAGTTGGTCCTCGAAGAAGGGGGCGACGTTGCTGAGCATCCTCTTGTTCACGCGGAACTCCTTCATCTTCTCGCCTCTGCCGACGAATACGCGGGCCACGTTCTCATCTTCGCTTGATCTGAGAACGAGTTTGTTAGTCGTGTCGAGTTGGCAGATCAGGGGTAGACGACTTACACATTGCCCATTGAAGGGTTGGAAAAGATAGCCTTTGGTCTCGACATGGGGGCCATTGTGATGATTTATGGCAGTGCTCAGCACCAGATATTCGAGCTCAGCTCTGTAGTAAGAAAGTAGAACAGACACACAAGAATAAAGATACTAAACCAAGGAAAAGGAACCAGTTGAAGGCCGTGAAGACGTGATGCGTTGCAATGACTCTCCCAGAGAGCTTGAGAAGAGGAAGGAGAGCAGATCACACACGAACTCCTGACCCAGAACCGAGGAAAGCTCTCCCGTTATGAATTGCTTCAAGTGCCCCCGATGCAACTCCAGCCAGGGCAGAGCAACAGCATCGAGCATGGGAGAGCATGGGAGGAACATGGGGCCGGCTTGGGACCAGCGTAGGACACGGCATGGGATGGAACGGCGTGGTGGAGAGCATGGGATGGCGGCATGGCGCACGCAAACTCCGCTAACACAGTCTAGCACGAAACCCCCTTTGTCGTCTGCCAAGCGCAGTGTGCGAATAAGCTTATACGTGATAATCGACGTTAAGTCGGTTTCAGAAAGGAGGGACAGCCGTGGCTGGCTCCGGTGCTTACTGCTGGCATCTGGGGCTCGTGCCGGGGTCCGCCGGGGCGGCTTCCTGGCAGCTCGCCTTAAGAGAAGGCTGATATGGGACAGCGGTTCACGAAAAAGACGAGATGTCGTTGCTTGGGACGGGCAGGGGTCGCGGTTTCAAACGTCATTGTCAAACACGCTGTGTGCAGTGGTGTGGGAGTCGTGCCGCGCGAAGTGTACCCTCGACATGGCTCGACTGCTTCAGGTGACAGGGTTGCGGGCTGTGAGCCACTGGTTTTTTCGCGGGCAGACGGCTGTAGCGGAAGCTTGGGGCAGCCTTAGCTGTGGCTGATATAGGACCGGGGTGCGGTGCTTGGGCTAGGGTGCATTTCTTGACGTTCCCGCAAGCCCTTGTCAAGAACCGTCTCGTCTGTGCAGACGATCTCTTACCAGACCGGTCCAAGGGGATTGGAGTTGCATCCAGACACTCTTCTGTGAGGATGCCGTAGCACACGCGTGGGTTCGGTGGTAGCGTACCAGCTTGGCTGTCAATCTCACCCACAGACGGCACAGAGATGGTATCACGGCTCCTATTTTTGGTGGCGTTTTTTTTTTATAAACTCATGGCTTGAAATGTTTTGGACGAGCAAGCCAGACGAAGAGTTGAGGCGTATTGTGTCGTTGTTTCCTTGTCAGTTGTGGCCAATAAACAAGCTAAGCAGGTTGTGAGAAGGATTGTGTTAGCTCCCACAACCCCGGCTATAACGGAATGAAACTCGTTGAAGACAGCTCCGCTTGCGCGCGCGCGAGGGCATCGTGGCTGGCCTCAGTCGCCCGCATCACGAATCACGGCCGCCTGGGCCTCGAGTTGGTCTTTTGCAGCGCTCAGATGTGATTGAAAAAAAGGAGGCATCTCAATGCGCATGACCATGACCATTAACCGGTAGATGTGCAATGATCGTAGCCAGCATCGAGGATCCGTTCGTTCTCGATCTTTTCGACTGCGCCCGCGCTGCATTGTCCTCCTTCTTGCGGCCGTCCAATGTTGCTTGGATCGTCGAGGCAGTGCAACTCAAGCCGCGGGATTTTCGTGCATCTTGACGCAGGTCAGCCGAAGAACGGATGCTAAGGCCCAGGCACCTATATCGCAACCATGGGACGTTTGGTTTCAGTCGTGGAGTTGGGGTTCGCTGGAAAAATCGAAGGCCCGTATTCACGAGCTCGTCTAAGAGAGGTTTGAAACCGGGCGTCGAACCGCGGAGTTGAGGCGAGCATGGCCGCGAGGAGTGGAAAAGTGCCACACTGCTTCTGCAAAGGGGGAGCCACTGAGCCAGGAGGCTGGCGCACAGGGCGATTGTCGGGCCGGGCGGCAGAATGCAGAGGCGGTGCCCATTGACAAGCCCGGTCAAGGGAGACCTGCAATATCGGGGGCAGCTGGCTCCGATGTGCCTGCATGGAGATGTGGAGTTGAGGGGTGTTTGAGTGGGAGGGACTCGGAAGTCTTGAGATTCAAGATTGCAAGATTGAGAACCCCCCGACCCGACAGCGACCCCGACACCCGTGTCCGACCCCCGACCCGTAACCGTACCTGGTAACAAGAGGAAGAACCGGGAGCAAGGGTCTACCGCAGTAGTCTGTTTTGCGCGGGTTTTTTTTTTTTTTTTTTNTTTTTTTTTTTTTTTTTCTTGTCGTCGTCTTTCTCTCTTTCTCTCCAGCTGGAGACAGGGTCCACGGAGTCTCCCAGGCGAGGCGAAAAGACTCCGGTCCTCTGCCGCCGCCCCGTCGTCAATCGTCGAGTCGGCGGGTTCTCGTCTGGGTCGTGTCTGGGTCAAGATTGGGTCCCTGGTTTTTAGGTCGATCACGCCATTGCGGATTGCCCCAGAAACAATAAGTGTCAAGGCCACGGCCATCGCGGGCGATTGTTTGCCCAAGATGTTTTGACGGCGACAGACCAGACGAGGGGCATTGACGATCTTCAGAAGATGGCGGTTGACGTCGGGAGCTCCCACGACGATCAAGCAGCGGTCGAGACTGGATTAGATCATTTTAGTGTACCAACAGACGCCGTTGAGCGGTGACGAGTGGCGGATCGACTGCAATTGGACTGGACACCGTTTGCGAGAGAGAAAAAAGAAAAGTCTGGGTGAGAGCTAGGCCTTCTTCGAGACACCCGCCACGACGTCAACGTTGGCTCAATTGAACGGTGAAGAATTCATCCAATCGAGAGAAAGGGCGCGCGTGAGGGTAAGACATGGCTGTCTGAGCTGAGGGAGAGGTCGAGGAATTCGTCGTGATGCATCACCACCTCAACACTTGGATAGCTCGAGGACCCTGGAGATGTCTCCTTGCTTGGATTGCAGCTTGGTGAGGTGAGCTTCGCTGGGCCACATGTGCTTCACAGCAGTGGTAGTGGCCAATGGGAGGCAGGGACACGCAGCTGCCCGCACTTGCCCACAAAAAAATGGCTTTAAGCTTGTGGGATCCTGAAGTGTGAGGCAAGGACGTGGCCGTTGGCTATCTCTGGCTCCGATAAGGCAAAATCTGAATCCCACCATTGCCCACACCGCCCTTCCATTTCGAGGCAGGTCCCTTGCGTTCCTGCCGCCCTGTGGCGGGTTGGGCCAATCAACGATCGCCTGCCCCTCCATACCAGAGGTACCCTCCCTTCTCGCCTCAGGCCCGCGCCCATTGTGTCTGCGTGTCTTGTGCTGCATTGTCGCCGGTACGAACCTTAGCTGGCCTGACCTTGGCCTCTCATGCAGTTGTCTGACTCTCTGTGCCTTTTTTTGCTACAATCCTCGGTTTGGAGCACAGACGGTCAGAGGCGCAGAGCATGGAACATCGGGGAAAGGCAGGAAACAATGGGGGAAAGCCAATGGAGGGAGCAAGAAAAGCTTCACCTGGAGGTAGGTACCTTAGCTGTAGGTGAGGTAAGGTAGGGACAAGCTTGAGCAGGTACAGAGGGGCACTAACAGAAAACAATGGGTGGCTTGCGGCCTCCCGCCGGAGCTCCCTCGCAGCTTGCGATAGTGCTTTGTACCCCGCCATCTTAAGGTGCCTCGCCAACAGTGGAGACCTCAAGCAAGATTCCCCCAATTGAGTCCCCCGCCAGCCGCCACGCTGCATTCTCACGAAGTGTCAGAGGCCACTTTCTCATGGGCAATCTGCGACAACCCCTCCTTCCCTTTCCAAAGTACCCCACCTGAACGCTACTGGAAGGACTTCTCACCTCATTTTTTTTTTCTCCCGGCGATTTGGCTGGCTGGCAGAGTCCAAAAGAGGTGATCAATAAAAATAAAAAATAAAATAACGAAAACTCCGGGGCCTCCACCAAAGTACCAATTGCTCGTACCATAGACAATCCATACCTACCCAACGGTGAGAGGGAGGGGAAAAACACAAAAAAGTGACATTGAGGCTGCAAGCCGACTTCGCTCTCCAGTCAACTGCCTGGGGACCCAGCCCAGCCTCTCTGCCCCTCGCACGCAATTGCCCAATTCACCGACTCGCGGGCCGCTAGAGTTTTTTCACACGTCCACCACCTCGACCTTTGGAAGACTACTTCATCTGCCCCTCCTCCTCTTCCATCCTCTTTTCCTTCTTCTCTTTCTTCCCCCAACCGCCTGACTCCCAAGTTCTTCTTCCTTACCTTGCTTATTGTCGGCGGGGTAATTCCACAACACATCATTTTATCACACTTGAGTCTTTTGCGTCGATCAGCAACAGCATTCAAGATGGTTCAGTCCTCGGTTCTTGGTTTCCCCCGCATGGGTGTGAACCGTGACCTCAAGAAGGCCAACGAGGCTTACTGGGCCGGCAAGCTCTCTCGCGATGAGCTCCTCGCTGAGGGTAAGAGACTGCGTCTCGCCCACTGGAAGATCCAGAAGGATGCCGGTGTCGACATCATCCCCTCCAACGACTTTGCCTTCTACGACCAGGTCCTTGACCACATCCAGCTCTTCAACGTAAGTGACTCACCCCGAAATCTCACTAAGCCCATCATCAAGCTGACAACCTGCCTCAGGCCATTCCTCCCCGTTACGCCGAGACCAAGCTTGAGCCCATTGACGAGTACTTCGCCATGGGCCGCGGCCACCAGAAGGACGGCATCGACGTCCCCTCTCTGGTAAGCCCCGCCCCCGCCCCCGCTCATGCACGGGCGATGAAAAAATCTCATAACGTAAAACAAATACTGATGGATCCGTCAACAGGAAATGGTCAAGTGGTTCGACTCCAACTACCACTATGTCAAGCCTACCCTCCAGGATGGCCAGACCTTCAAGCTCGCTGCCAACCCCAAGCCCGTTGTTGAGTTCAACGAGGCCAAGGAGGCCGGCATCATCACCCGCCCCGTCCTTGTCGGCCCCGTCTCTTTCCTCCACCTGGGAAAGCCCGACCGTGGCCAGTCCGTTGACCCCATCTCTCTGCTCGACAAGCTCGTCCCCGTCTACGTTGAGCTCCTGAAGCAGCTCAAGGCCGCTGGTGCCGAGACTGTCCAGATTGACGAGCCCATCCTCGTCTTCGACCTCCCCGAGAAGTCCAAGGCTGCCTTCAAGCCCGCCTACGAGGCTCTCACCGCCGCCGGCCTCCCCAAGCTGGTTCTGGCCACCTACTTCGGTGACATCGTCCACAACTTTGACGTCCTCCCCTCCATCAGCAACGTCTACGGCCTCCACGTCGACCTTGTCCGCAACCCCGAGCAGCTCGGCCCCGTCGTTGAGAAGCTCGGCCCCAAGCAGATCCTGTCCGCCGGTGTCGTCGACGGCCGTAACATCTGGAAGACCAACTTCTCTCGCGCCATTGACACCGTCAAGCAGGCTATTGCCAAGCTCGGCGAGGACCGTGTCATCGTCGCCACCTCTTCTTCCCTCCTCCACACCCCCCACACTCTTACCTCCGAGAAGAAGCTCCCTGAGGAGGTCTACGCCTGGTTCTCCTTCGCCTCCGAGAAGGCCGTTGAGGTTGCCACCATTGCCAAGGCCATCACCAACGCTGCCTCCGTCCAGGCCCAGCTTGATGCCAACGCCAAGGACATCCAGTCCCGCGCTACGTCTGCCCGCACCAACGACCCTAACGTCAAGAAGCGCCAGTCTGAGGTCACCCCTGAGATGCACAACCGCAAGTCTGAGTTCCCCACTCGTATTGCTGCCCAGAAGAAGCACCTGAACCTTCCTCTCTTCCCTACCACCACCATCGGCTCCTTCCCCCAGACCAAGGAGATCCGTATCCAGCGCAACAAGTTCACCAAGGGTGAGATTACCGCTGAGCAGTACGAGAAGTTCATCGAGAAGGAGATGGACGATGTCATCGCCATCCAGAACGAGCTTGACCTGGACGTCCTCGTCCACGGTGAGCCCGAGCGTAACGACATGGTTCAGTACTTCGGTGAGCGCATGGACGGTTACGTCTTCACCACCCACGCCTGGGTCCAGTCCTACGGATCCCGCTGCGTCCGTCCCCCCATCGTTGTCGGTGACATCTCTCGCCGCAACAACCAGCCCATGACCGTCAAGGAGTCCAAGTACGCTGCTGCTCACTCCAAGCGCGTCATGAAGGGCATGCTTACTGGTCCCATCACCTGCTTGCGCTGGTCTTTCCCCCGTGACGACGTTCACCAGTCCGTCCAGGCCCAGCAGCTTGCTCTGGCTCTCCGCGACGAGGTCGTCGACCTCGAGGCCGCCGGCATCTACGTCATCCAGGTCGACGAGCCTGCTCTCCGTGAGGGTCTCCCTCTCCGCTCCGGCAAGGAGCGTGAGGCTTACCTCGCCTGGGCTGTTGACTCCTTCAAGCTGTCCACCGCCGGTGTCGAGGACTCCACTCAGATCCACTCTCACTTTTGCTACTCCGAGTTCCAGGACTTCTTCCACGCCATCGCTGCCCTCGATGCCGATGTCCTGTCCATCGAGAACAGCAAGTCTGACGCCAAGCTCCTCCGTGTCTTCGAGGAGAAGGCCTACCCCCGCCACATCGGCCCTGGTGTCTACGACATCCACTCTCCTCGTGTTCCCTCCGAGGAGGAGATCAAGACCCGCATCGAGGAGATGCTTAACAACGGTCTCCGCCCTGAGCAGCTCTGGATCAACCCCGACTGCGGTCTGAAGACCCGCCAGTGGGCCGAGACCAAGGCTGCGCTGACCAACATGGTCAACGCCGCCAAGTACTTCCGCACCAAGTACGCCGACAAGGCCTAAGCGGATGATGCGATGTATATGAAGTGTGATTTAGGTGTTGGGTGGGAAACGATGGTCTATTCAACAGACATGAAGTGGCAATACCCGCGGGGATAACCGGAAAAAATCAAAGGGGAAGGGCTCAGGCACATTCAACATAGGCGTTCTTTTTTCAACATATCTCCACGGCGTTTTGCAAGCGGGTTTGGGACTCGGGGAAAAGTAAGGCATTCAACAGATACCGCTTTCAGGGAAGGGTCCCTAGGTAGACACAAATGCCCCTTAACGGGCAGAGGTCTAATGTAGTTAGTACGTCATGAATTCATGATTATGGTTCAATCACCTTTTGGTCTTCTCGCCTGTGACAATGCGTGCGAACCGCCCCTAACGCACCACAGGCATGGTTCGGGCTCAGTTGCCTTTGGAGAAGAAGTCGTTGATTTTACCTACAACTTTAGCCGTAGACGGGGCCGTGCGGTGTCATGGGTTGTGGCACATGTTAGTCTCAAGCGACAACTAGTCAAACAAGACCCTTGCAACGGATCAACAGAGTCTTCGAAACGTCTTTGCACAAAAAAAAATGCAACTTCATTTACGAGAAACCCGGAGAACACCGTAGCGAGAAACGGGGCTTGTGTCGCGCGTAGAGGGCACACTCAAGCAGATCGAGCTTTGGGGTTCGCGAGGTCTGGTCGAGGGGAGGCAGGCCGTTGGTTGCCGGATCGGCGCCGCGAAAGGGGAATAACTCGGGATGACGCCACAGGAGAGCGTCACAGTCTGTTGCCATGCATCCATCACTGACGCACACTATTCGGCAATCCCAATTACTCAGCAAAGTGGGAATGGATGGCTTCACTGATGGCGTGAGATATGGACATGCCGCGGTTGTTCTAGGGCGGTGGTTATAAGGCGCTGTGCAATTCGTTACTGGACGGCGTACCTTTGCACCGAAGCTGATAAATCTTGCCTCTGAGGACCCCACACTTGTTAGTGTCTCTTGCTGGGCAATTGTTCAAAGGACGACGAGCTTCTTTCCTATCTCGACCAGGATAAGTTTGACAAATCGACGACTAACTACCACAAAGCACCCTCAACTGCCCCATCTTCGCGGGATCTGTCTTCCGCTGTCGGGATTTATAACCTTGTTCATAAATCCCCATCCCCCTTCCGCCCCCAGTTGTCGACGTCAAAAAGACTGACAGCAACATCATCAACTCGAAACCTCTGCCAAAACAGCAAAACACCACAACCGACGCCCGTTGTCGTCACTGACTAGCCTCATCCGCCCCCGGCACAGACAGAACAGAGGACAATCCCCGCACGCACACCCGTCCCATCGCAGCAGCATCGCAATTATTCGCGCACCTCCCACCCCTCTCACAACCCAGCGACAATGACAAAAACCGCAAACAAGCCGGCCCCCAACGTGCCGTTTTACACCCCGGCCCAGGAGCCTCCCGCCGGCACCCCCGTCGACGCCTCCCCCCCGGCCCCGACACTGTTCCAGCCCCTCCGCATCCGCGACCTCACCATCAACAACCGCGTCTGGGTCTCCCCCATGTGCCAGTACTCCGCCCGCGACGGCCACGTGACGGACTACCACCTCGTGCACCTGGGCCAGTTCGCGCTGCACGGCGCGGGGCTGACCATCGTCGAGGCCACCGCCGTCGAGCCGCGCGGCCGCATCTCGCCCGAGGACGTCGGCCTGTGGGCGGACTCGCAGACGGCGCCGCTGAAGCGCGTTGTTGATTTCGTGCACTCGCAGGGCCAGCTGGCGGGGATTCAGTTGGCGCACGCGGGGCGCAAGGCGAGCACGCTCGCGCCGTGGATCACGGAGAAAGTAGGCAAGGCGCTGGCGAAGGAGGAGGAGGGCGGGTGGCCTGAGGATGTGGTCGGGCCGAGCAGTATCCCGTTTGACGAGGGGTGGGCGCTGCCGAAGGAGCTGAGCGTCGAGGAGATTGCTGTGTTGGTGAAGAAGTTTGCCGAGAGCGCGAAGAGGGCTGTCGAGGCCGGGTTCGATGTCATTGAGATCCACGGCGCGCACGGGTACTTGATCTCGGAGTTCTTGTCGCCTCTGAGCAACGTAGGTTGTCCTCTCTCCCATAACAAGACCAGGAACTGACAAACCAACAGCAACGCACCGACCAATACGGCGGCAGCTTCGAGAACCGCACCCGCTTCCTCTTCGAGACCATCAAGGCCGTCCGCGACGTCGTCCCGTCCGGCATGCCGCTCTTCCTGCGCATCTCGGCGACCGAGTGGATGGAGTACGCCGGCGCGCCGTCCTGGACCGTCGACGACTCGCTGCGCCTCGCGAAGCTCCTGCCCGACGCCGGCATCGACCTGCTCGACGTGTCCTCGGGCGGCAACAACCACGCGCAGAAGATTGAGATCTCGCCGTACTACCAGGTCAGCATCGCGGGCAAGATCCGCGCCGCCCTCGAAGAGGAGGGCAAGACGCTGCTCATCGGCGCCGTGGGCATGATCTCGAGCGGCGAGATGGCGCGCAGCATCGTGCAGGCGCGCGGGGAGCAGACGAACGGCGAGGCGAGCGGGCACAAGGGCGTGGACCAGGGCAACTGCGCGACGCTGGAGGTGGACGAGGAGCACGGGCAGGTCACGCAGGCGGACGCGGTGCTGGTGGCGAGGCAGTTCCTGCGGGAGCCGAATTTCGTGTACAAGATTGCGGACGAGATTGGGGTCAAGGTGAAGTGGGCGAACCAGTACCACCGCGCGCCGAGGAGGAAGCATTGACTACATGGTCGGAAAGGGGGCAAGGATGCGAAGTTGTGAGGGGATAGAATTATGAATCATGATGGCGGAGAGAGATGGAGAGACAGAGGAAGACAATAAAAGTAGAGTATTAGAGAAGAGATGCAGAGGAAGAACAGAAATGAAGAGATAGAGCTGAATACGACTTGAGTGTGTTCACCAGGCTTTATATGGGTAGAAGAGATAAGAGAAAGACAAGATGAGGAGCAAGACACCGGAGCAAGAGAAGAGAGAAAAGCAAAGAATAGCATTGGATTATGAGTCGACATCTACTTCAAAAAAATGTGGATATTGCAATGCTATTTAGCTCTCTTAGCCCACGCAATAGGTGAGGCCCAGCCAGAGCGGTTTGACCAATGCTTCATCCAACGCTCAATGCTACGAATTAGTCACAATTGAAAACCGTATCCCGAATTTCGACTTTATCCAAATCTAACACCTGACTTCTTCTACCCCAATACCCGTTGTGATAAAAAAAGCCTGACAAAAATGAAAAGTACAGCTAGGAAGAGTCATACGACCGTAATTTTTCAGAGCTGATGAAGAATCCCCTCAGAAAAAAGAACACACGCCAGAGGGTCTTTGCAACTGTAACCACGACTGCGACTGCTACTGACTACTCCCTCTTCCTGGGCGTCATGTGCACCTTGAGAGGCGGCTTGTTCCAGAGGATGTGGACCTGGTGCTGGTCGCAGCGCAGCCAGTCCCTGCTCTCCTCGGCGAGCTGGAGGTCGAAGTTGTAGATTACGCGGGCGAGGATCATGCGCATCTCTGCGTAGGCGAGGCTGTTGATTTCACGTCCAGTCAGTACTTTGACTTTCTCTTTGGTGTGAACGTGGAAAAGGGGGGGGGGGGGGGGNGGGGGAGGGGGGGGGGGGGGGGGGGGTTCGTATGTAGTTTGAAAAGGGGGTCAGAATAAAGGGAAGGACGACGTACTTCATGCCGAGACAGTTCCTCGGGCCAATGTGGAACGGCTTGAGGGCGTCGAGCGAGTCGTTTGCGAACTCGGGGTCGCCCATCCAGCGCTCCGGGTGGAACTCGAAGGGCTTGCGGAAGTTCTTCTCGTTGTGGTACATTGCCCAGTGCCAGATGTCGAGCGTCGTCTGTTTTTCACGTCAGAATCATTCACCCCAAGATACCAACTCCCTGATTATCATAGAAAAAGGGGCAAGGGACAACACTCACGTTCCCGGGAATCCACTGCCCCAAAATCTCCTGGCCGCCCGGCGGCGTCACGCGGGGCAAAGCGCTCGGGACGGGCGGGTACATGCGCAGGGCCTCCTCGAGGACGGCCTGGAGGTAGTCGAGCTTCGCGGTGGAGATGATGTCGATCTCGTCCTCGGAGGCGAAGGCGGAGCGGACCTCTTCGTTGAGCTTGGCGAGGGTGGACGGGTTGGAGCAGAGGAGGTAGGTGGCGCCGGAGAGGGCGGTGGCGGTTGTCTCGGAGCCGGCGATGATGAGGAGGCGGGAGTGCATGATGAGCTCGGTGCGGGTGAGGGCCTTGCGGTCTGTGTAAGTCACGGTTTGGATGATGCGAGATTGAGGAAAGGAGGATGCTTGGGGAACTCACCTCGTCGCCGGTCTTGTTCAGCATCGACTGCGCAAAGTCAGGCCGCGGCGTGCCCATGGCGATGCGCCGGTCGAGCTTCTCCTCGATGAGCTGGTAATGCGAGACGCGCTTGTCGAGCAGCGACTTGGGCACGAACATCTTGAGCAGCGGCTCGACGAGCTTGTAGCTCTTGAAGACGAAGAAGTAGATGCCGACCTTGATATCGTCAAAAATGAGGCGCACCCAGGGGTGGTAGTCCGAGTTCTCGAGGCAGCCGAAGGACTCGCCGAAGGCCAGGTCGCCGATGATGTCGAAGGTGGTGAAGTTATACCACTGCACGACGTCGAGCGGGCCCTGGCCGGCGATGCTGTGCAGGCGCTCGATGAGTAGGTCGATGTAGGACTTGATGATGGGCTGCTGGTCCTGCATGCTCTTGGCGGAGAAGCCGTGGCTGAGGATGCGGCGGTAGCGCGCGTGGTCCTCGCGGTTGGCGGAGATGAGGTCGGCGTGGCGCTCGTCGATGAAGTCGGGGAGTTTGGCGTTCTCCTCGAGCTTGCCGCCCTTGCGGTGGCCCATGACCTCCTTCCAGGCGTCCGGGGCCTGGAAGGAGAGGAGGGAGGGGGAGAGGCGGACGACGTCGCCGTAGCGGGCGTGCAGGGCGAGGATGTCCTTGTGCGGGTTGCCGCGGAGGAGC